ATTATTTTAAATATTGACCACCAACATGATATTCAATTATTTTTCCATAAACATCCTGCCTTTGAATAAGCTTAATTATCGAAAGAATCGACTTACAGAAAATAATTTAAGAACAAACAATAAACAAAACAAAAATGATTCAATTATTATGTTATTAAGTTACCAAAAAAACAACACAACAAATAAAAATTCAACAACAAAAAAAAATCAACGTAAAAGTATAAAATGAATAACAACGAAACGAAATTTGAACAATTACTCCAAAAACACCACGCACTGCCAGTGGCGGATTTAGTCTTGGCCGCTCCCAAAAAGGCCATGTAGTCAGTATCAGCATGCGTTCAGTAGTTTTTGAGTTATCGCGATCAGACAGACAGAGGTAGTGTAGTGATTATACATTACATTATAGATATGTAACATATCCATATTTTATACATAAAAGGTACGAAAGTGATTTAGGAAGATTATTGTTTACGATACGGTCCAGTGCGGCCCGCCATAATATGCTTGAGCCTTTAGAATATTTAGGTACTTCGAGTTATTTCTTGTAACCATCAGTGAATTTTTTGTCACGATTAGCCAATCTTGGCACAGGTATACTGGGCCTTAGGGCAAATCCGCCACTGTGCACAGCTCAGAAGAAAACGACCCTCATACAAGGTGTATGCACTCGTATTGTGTAAATCGCTATGGATATATATTCCGTTGTACGCAGCAAGTAATTGGGGTAATTTATTATTTTTAACCTTATCGTTACATTTTATAACTAGTTAATATACTGCAATTTTTACTTAAAATTACAACCGCAACAAATATTGTTTGTTTTTGGTTATTATGACAAATTTATTATTATTTAACTGCCTCCGTGGCCGAACGGTTACCATGCTGGACTGCCACGCAGAGGTCCCAGGTTCGAGTCCCGGGTCGGGAGAAATATTTGTATGGCCTACATTTATTTATCTCGTGAGTTTGGTTGTAATTTGTGGTTGTCTATGTGTGTGTCCATGGCACCTGCGACACAGGGATCCCTAGTGCGGGGCCATGTTGAGTGTGTGCGTTATTAAAAAAAAAAGAAAAAACAAGAAGACCTTATTACAAATAAAAAGTTAGATAACTGAAAAAGTTTATGTCGTGAGTCGTGTCACATCAGCGGTTAAAAGTTACAGCGCTGAACAAAAAGGTAACTACTGGCAAGAGCCTAGCTCTTAAATAAGTGCAAGGTCATTAAAACAAAACAGACTTTGAGTTAAATTATTTTCCAGTTGGTCACGTTTCAAGTTTTTGATTTATCTTAGTGATAGTGTACAGATTTACGTTATGTAATTTGGAAAAAGCATACAAACTTCATTTATTTATTTTATTGAATAGCATGACGTTTTACCTATCGACTTTTTGAATTTCACGATTTTGGATCACTGTGATGGTATTCATATATTTTTGTAAAATAATTCCACAAGTTTCTTATGATTAGCTATTATCAATACAAATCAATACAATCCCCATTTGTAATAACGCCGAAGTTCTAGAACGCTGCCATTACCATCTCTAAGAGTATTGGGATACTTGGTGTCGACATCACGGACGAAGTCCAGTTCCGGGGTCATTTGGGGAGCAAAGCCAAACAGGCTTCAAATAAGCTCGGAGTGCTCAATAGAGCGAAGCAGTATTTCTCACCAGGTCAGTTTTGTTGTGTAAAACACAAGTACGGCCCCATATGAAGTATTACTCGCATCTCTAGGTTGGAGCTCCTAAATACCAGCTTGATCCACTTGACTCCATCCAACGTAGACTGTTCGTATTGTCGATGATCCCAAACTCGCAGACGGTATGGAGTCCCTTAGCGTCCAGTTACACGAGGTGAAAGTTTTCGCGCGGCCGCCGTGTGGCGACCGCCCATTACCACGCGTTCATGTACATTAATGACGAATCTAAATTCTATTTACTAGACAACAACATTTAAATTCCTCTGAATGAAACAACGCGGTCGCCGCGCGGGCCGCCGCGTAGACTAAATTCAAGTCAGCCTCGCCCGCGTGACTGAGACGCTCATTTAAGTTAAAACGTAAAAGGTAAATTAATAGAGCGTATTTTGCCATGACAGTTAAAGTATGCGGTCGCTGCGCGGCGGCGACGCGGTCTCCGCTCGGTAGCCGCGTGGGGTGATCGCGATGAAATTAGTGTCGAATAAATGCGCCCTAAGCCTACAGAGAGACGTTAGCTCTCTGTGTGTGTTCTACCATCTTTATAAAGGGAAGTGCTCTGAGGAACTTTTCGAACTGGTGGCAGCGTCTCGTTTCTACGATCGCGCCTTCCGCCAAGGGAGTAAATGCCCATGATCCACGATGACCACCACCCACCTAGTGGCTCGTCTGTTCGTTTAACCCCTTCTTACATAAAAAAATAAACAAAAAACAAAGATCGAACATATAGAAATTTGTTTTCTTCGACTCGACAGGACTTGATAACGCTGTACCGTAGCGTTGTTCCTATCAACTGAGCTACAGGCAAACTAACTTGACCTGTAGCCTGACATTTTTCTGTGTTAATCTTGGTATCAATAACAATTATAAAATTCATTAAGTATATATACATATATAGTGCGGCTAAGGAAATAACGACAGACCACGAAATAACACACATATACATAAATAGCTCCCTAAGATATCTTGTAATTATTGTATTGTAGGTATTTTATTGATATTTACATTTTTGATATGTGACTGTTAATTATTTTACTACAGTAGTATATTTAGAAGTTTTTAACTATCTACAAAAAGGAGGAGGTCCTCAATTAGACTGTATTTGTGTGTGTGTGTGTGTAATGTTACGCGAGTACTCTATATTTGTGAACCGATTTCGATGATTCTTTTTTTGTTGAAAACAAAAGCAAAGGTCAAAAAACAAAAACAGCAAAAGTATATAAGGAGTTCGCGTTGTTTGTATAGAATATATCGGATAAAAAACTGTACCACAATGTTCGATCAATCATTTATTATGGTTTTAATATAAATAATGTAATAAATAAAAAGTTCTGTACTGATATTATATTTAGGTTTAAAGAAAAAAAAATTGCATCATCATCATCAGCCTCTAAAATCCAATAAACAGCCTCTGTGTATCTTGTACTCGGCCTTAACACTTATCAATAATAATGAGATCAAAATCAACAATAATTTATTACATTTAATTATATGAAGAAATCAACAAAATAATATTTGTACTTCTTACTCTGCTAGCCTGCCTAATCGGCATGCCATTTCGAATGGCTTCCATGTTAGATGACAATTTTTCTTGGGGATACGAGTGTATCGGTCTTGGTGTTTTTTTTAATTTTTACTAAAAATACCCTCGTTAATATAATTAAATAATAAATATATTACCCATACCTACCTACATAATAAGGGACGGCTGGACACTGATACCGCAAAACCCAGTGTGGTCAGCCTTATTGAAAAAATATTTTCATTTATTTTTATTATTATCACAAAAGTGTATAGGGAATGTTAAGTTAAATTTGAATATTTTATTGTAACGGTTTTAACGATATCGCCCTGTTAATACAATAGTGTATTAACTCAAAAAGTGGACTTTCTCAGATCGATGTAAAACGAATTACTCACTTCCCGCAAAAAATCATTAAACTTATGTATGTCATAGTTTATTATAGACACTTAAGCAATTTCTCAAATATATTTAAAAATAAAATGGAAAACATGATTTCATATTTTTCAACAAGTATATTTTGGCCAGAACTAGCTCACATAAAGTGTGTCTCATTTTCAGTTAAGTGGATATATTTTGATTATTTCTTACAATATTCTAACGACGGTTTTTTTAAAGTGTAGAGAATCAAATTTTACGTTCAGTAATGATATAATATTAAATTTCACATATTTTGTGTTACAACGCTATTGTAATAGGAGTGCGATAGGTTTTATATCATGGTTTGAAAAATATACGATTTACCCAAAAGTCAGCCCCTGGAGACTGAGCGTTGGATTTCATATAAAAAGCGAGGTCTCCAGTAGCCAGCCCCCTCAATTTGTACGTAAATTAGTGACTAATTACTACAGTATTAATGAAATTGACTAGATAAACTAATAAGTAACACACAAGTGGAGAAAAAACAGTCACTTTTAACATCCAAACATAACTTGTTCTTACCTGTTATGAGAACACCACTTGCTGAGAAAAAAATGGCGGACATGGTACAACCGCTCTTGTCGGCTGACGGTACATATATAAACTATGGGTTACTCCTACAAGGAGTCAACTCGACTTACTTTTTCATGAACTCGAGCTAACTCTGTTCGGTACCCGCCCCGCCGCCGAGCCGAATACTTCATTCATACAGCGCGTCGGCGTGGACCTTCGGAGCACGCTCGAGTCGCGAGCGATGGGCGAGTCGAGTTATTCCCACAACGAGTCAACTCGTGCTCCTTTCGGTTCCCGCCGAGTCGATATTTCATTCATACAGCGCGTCGGCTATTCGTTCTCACTCGGTCGGTTCGGCGACCTTCGAGTACGCTCGAAGGCAGGCAGGCAGATCGTGCCCAACTCGGTGAATCGTCGGTTCGAGTTCTACTCCCGACTCGTGGTTGCTCTGTCAGACACCGAGTCGAGTTAACTCGAGTTAGCAGTCACGTCAATTCGAGTTGAAAAAATACAACTCGTCCCATCGCTAGTATAAACGAGTTTATTCTGCACCAGACCTCTTACCGCACTTGTCGCGTAATGTATTGACCAATGAGGAATCAAAGCTTAACACTCTGAAGACTTAACTTCGGTAAAATGAGCGGAAAGAACGGTCATTGTTTAGGATTCACCTGTCGGATCAAGTAAATATGGAATTACTTATTCAACTTACAGATAGTTTTATTTTTGTTTTTATATAACATCCGTGAGGTATATATATACAAATATAGTGATATAATCACCTTACATATAAATATATATATATATATATATATATATATATATATATATATATCTGTTTTCAGGTTCTTGCCATGGTGCACGCCAAACAGCGCAGCGATCAGCGCAACGTAGAAAGGTACGTTTCCTTAGGGAAGCTCCATATGGAAGTACGACGTCATTATAACAAAATTACTACTTGTACAAAAAAATCTCGAGTTAAAATTTTAGCACGTAAATAAAAGACAAAAATCTTCCATCCATAAAATAATTTTAATCTTTTGTCGTTTCTAATCATATGGCACTATGTGACATTTCTAGCTACATGCATGTTTAATATGTTTTATGTAGGATACATCTCGTTCGGACTTGTATTTGCCAACGCCGAGCGCAGAGAGCCTGCAGGCACTAGCGCAGGCGATGGGTGCCGCTGGCTTCGAGTCGTACACCGAGGGCAAGGCACTGGTCAAGAGGCTCATCCCGGCCGACAGCCAGCCAGATCTCGACGTTGTTGAGCACCAAGGTACATCAACACTATTTTTATATGATTTTTGGATAATTTTAAATATTAATTATTCATTTTGACTATATACAAAACATAAATAACAGTCATGGATATCAATATAAGTTTTAAGTTTTTCAAACTAGAGAATACTCCATGTAAAGAACCGTACCCCGTAACCGTAACCGAAAACTGAATTTGAAATACGTCTCTCATCTTGATATTTTTTTCTGGAATATTTGAAGCGCTTGAATGGTGCACTAGTGCGAGATAGTAACATTTACAATAAATTCAATCAGATATAGATTGGACTTCTATAGGCATATATTATTACGAAGTACTTTTTCGAAAAATTCCTCATCCGTTCCTAAAATGTTCAGGTGTAATCGGCAGAGCTGGCATAGATTTCCCGGCGTTCCCTAACATCCCCAACACAGGATTCAACTGCAAGAACGTGCCTACCGGATACTATGCTGACTTGGAGACCGATTGCCAGGTACACCATTTCTTATTACTAATTGTATACTACTCAGCAGTCACGAAGCGTTTCTTGAAATTCAAATGGCAATCCTCAAATGTTTATAAAACCATCTAATTTCTACTTCCATTGTTTTTCCCAGGTGTTCCATATCTGCGACACGTCCCGCAAAATATCGTTCCTGTGCCCTAATGGCACCATCTTCAGCCAGTCGCACCTTATCTGTGACTGGTGGTTCAAGGTGGACTGCGCCTCCGCTCCTGCACTCTACGAGTCCAGTGCCGAATACTATTCCAACGAACAGAAGAAAAGTCAGAAAATTATCCAAAATTTGTCTAAGAACTCCGATTTGCAGCAGCTTAGTTCAGACACTCATATCCGACCGGAGACAAAGAAAACTCCTATAAACGTGCCAAGCACTACTGAAAAGTTATTAAGGCATAGGCAAAGGATTCAAGAAAATGTTAACACCAAAGCAACTTCACGAAGTTTCCAAGCGCTATTACCCGACTCTACCTTCAACCCTACTCAAAGGACTCAAGCTTCAACTGCTTTTGAAAAAAGGCGTAAGAACTTAGTGCAACTGATTGCAAATAATTTCGGCAACGTTCCTTCTCGAACTACACTACCAACTTACACAGAAGCTTCTACGTATAGGCCCACTTCGCCAGCCGGAGACTACAATAGCATCCGAGAAATGCAAGTAGCAGCTGAGAGCGCTTCATTTGCAAATAACAATAACAGACAATTCCTGCAAGATTACAACAACAAAAATTACAGACCTTACCCTGTTTACACTCCGAATCTTACAGCTAGACTAAGTAAAGCTAAAAGCAATCCTACTCTCACCACTCTGTATGACATCCGTGATAAAAATATAAACCTCGCAATTGAATCAACGTCGAAAAGACCTACTTTGGTACCGTACACCAAGAGTTACACTAGCTCTCTGAACGATAAACGTGAGCCATATACAAGACCTGGTGTTTCTCTGTTGAAAGATTTCCTCGATAAAGAGAAAAATAAAACTGCCGCTATTACTACTACAGAAAAAGTAATTGAGGCAACTGAACGAATCGATTTTTATGGCAATAAAAACAGCCCAGGAAATAAAGTCACTATAGAAACAAAAGATACTTACGAATCAGTGACTAAAATTCCTCAGACTACAAGGCCGGATAATAATTACTACAGGAGAACAGCATCGTCTGATAGACTTGACGTGTATGCGAATACCAATCAATTCCTTCCAACAACTGAATCTTCTTATCAGGAAAGAAGAGAAAGATTGATGAGAAAACTTAATTTAGACGCATTCAGTCCGACGGAAACGACATCTCAGACAACCATTACTGAAAAATTCTACGGAGATTTACCCAATAGGCCAGGCCTTGTTGTACCGCCTTCGTTGACTCCAAAAACTCTACACACTTTAGCTATTTATTATGCAACCGCTTTAGATAATTTATCTACTACAATGGCATCGCAAGAAACTGAAACAACCACAGCGGCCCTCGATGAATACGAAACGAACGAAGACGGGATTCCTCCTTTTGCCCTCTTTAGTCGACATACTATCGATAAATACAGTAATTTATTTGCTCAAGGCTTGCAGAATCCGGAACTTTTGGAAAATATTAAATTGGACCCGAATGGAACTTTCAACGAATTAGCTGATGATTTAACCGTTCAACAGAGTCAAAACCCTCTTGCCACTTCTCCACAAATAAGGGAGTTGGCACAGGTTTTTACTCATGCACTGTCTGCGTATCTGCAAGACCCCGTTCAGTTCAGAAAAGTACTCTCCGACATTAGACCCACTCATCCATCGTTTGGTGACATGCTCACGACCACCGAAGAACCCTCAAATACAGAACCTACTACAACTGTCAATGAGGAAGATGACGAAATACTAGGTTTTTCCGATGATAATAAAATAAGACCAGCTCTAGTTTCCCTAAGAGACCCAAAGGCATTGAATATTGCAACTGAATACAATACCGTTTCCGCAGAACTAACAACGACGCCAAAATCATTTAGAACTGATGCTTCTAACACTTTTGGTTTAACTACATCTTCGAGTCCATTCCGTTGTTGTGGAAGAATATCTGCTTCCTATACATCTGCTTCGACTCCCGAATCGGCAACTAGCCCTCAGCCATTTACAAACACCATAGCTGCGAATGTAAACACTTTAGCTAACAATACTACTGATTCCCATATTACTACTACAGAGAACAGCTACATTCCAAAATACGGTGGATTCCAAAATAACACGCAAGTCAACAATTCCCCATATGGAAGAGAAGTTAACCCTGTAGACGCAAAACCCTTAAGTGAATATATAGAAGTAACAAATCTGCCTACGGCCTGGGGAGTCGACGCTTCCGGTGTAACGGCACCGCCAGCGACTAATACTCACGCCAACATATTCGAAAGTAAAAAAATACTAACTACTACTTCTTTGCCGGCGACTACAGCAGTTTATTTCACCGAAACTGACAGTATTGAGTTAGAAAACGAAGAGGAACTACAAAGAGCGCATAGTCAATCATTTGTTACTCCTCAAAGTAATAACTTACGTCAAGGCAAGCAAATTAATATTGATGATGCAAAAACAACGGTAAGAAAACCTTCAGAAGAATTGGAAGCACCAACACTTTCTGACTTTGATGTAACTCCTGTACAGACGACGATACCACCCAGTACAACTGACAAAACAAATGATGCTGAGTTTTTCACAACAGTGTCATCATTTTCTAGTAATGCATTCACGTCACCCGAGGGCGATAAGACCACTTACCAGTTCCAATGGCCAAGTACTTTTGAAAGTTGGCAGAGCACAGTTATTGACCCTATAACTTTAAATGACAATCTAAATCCATCGGGACCCGAACAATCATCTCAACCCGTAGTCAGACAAACTAATTCATGGATCAACAACGCTGCAACCACACCCGCAACAGAATACACTAGAACCAGCGAGCAGAGCTACTCTTCCTCAGACACAGTAGAACTAACCACACCAGGGACCAGAAATGATGACAGAATTGGGAAATTACTCAGAGACCCAACATCCACAGAAGCTGCCCAAGATATAACCACCATCACAGACACGGTAGTCGAAAAAGCTAAAGAAATAATGGGAGGCATGAACGCTACAACCACCGAGAAACTTATGAACGTTATGAAAAAAACTAAATCTAAAACTGTAAGAAGACTAATACTCCTTTTAATTCAAACTTGTGATGATGACCACAATACTACAGCTGAAGCATCGAAGAAAGCACTATTGGAAGCTTTGATGGCAGTTTCGCAGAAAGACGTAGACGAAATTATTAAAGAAGATGTGACCGATGCGCCTACCACTCAAGCTGACATTGAAACGGTTAAAACGAATGAGCCCTTTACAAAATCCGACGTAACTGAGCGCCAAGAAATAAAATCAAGGACAACCGACAGACGGGGAAAAAGTTTAACCTTTGACCCGAACGCCATAAACTCATTGTCAAACCCTTCTACGCCAGAAAACTTAAAGCCGACTGAATTTATAGTTGAAACTGCTTCGACGACGCAATCTCCAAAAACTTTATCTAACCGTAGAGGAACTAAGAAATTCCTAATAAGAACATCGCCTGTAGACGCGAGCGTGACGAAACCGCCTGCGGCTAGTGTCCACAGTCCGATAGCTGAGGCCCGCACGGCGGCACAATCCTCCGACATAAAGACTGCAGCGGATACCAGAGCACTGGAGCTTTTAAGATCGCTTTACACTATCGCAGCGCGATGGGGTTGAGTTACTGTAGCTTATTTAAAGGTTTTAATTTTATATTTAGGGATTGTTTTGCTCAGTACAAACCCTAAATATAAATAATTGACACTGTAAATGTGATTTTATGTAGATAGTTCTTTACAGTTTTCAAAATTACTCACTTTACAATAGTAAAAAAATTGGTTGTTGATAATAATATTTGAAACGCTGTGTAACGCCTAACACGCGAGATTACATTAATTAACTTATTATGTTGTTATCGAAATAAGTGTTTAAGAGACGTACTGCCTAGATCATAAAATAACCTGATATTTCCCAGAGCGGAAATTAGCTTAAAGCAATTTACTGAGTTACCTACTTTATTTGTACTTAGAATAATAATATTGTTACACTGCCAATCGAGTTTACTGTAAAGTAGTTGTAAGTAGTCTACTTGTAGATGTAGTATACGTAAGAGAGACTTTTTATATTAAATTTTTTACTATATTATATATTTTTCATAAACCTATCCTTAGCTTCGTTAGGTTTACTATAGTCTCTCTTTTCTGAAAACGGAGTGAAATAACATTTGTGAGGTTACCAGTTTTCATAAAATTTTATATAGTTATGTAGTAGTTGTTGATAGTTTTAACGATGGATTGTGAAAGACAAAATTTTGACAAAAAATTACTGAATTGTGAATGTTATGACGTTCTGATGATTACTAATAACGTTATTGCCTTTTTACTCTTATTTTGATAGTTTGTTGGTTGGTTTAAAAATAAAATGAAAATCTTTAAAATATGTCTCCTCTTAGTATTTTTCACAAACGTAGCTCTAAATACAGTGTATGTTTGAACTTACAAAAATTGACAATTCAAATGAACTTGAGCTCAGTAATTGAATGAATAATGGGTACATGGATCGTTTCGGCTATTTATTTCATAAGCGTGACCAATATTCAGTAGATAGTCGATAGAACATTTATCGAATGCAATCGCTAAGTGCTCTCAAGGGGGCAACACTTTTCAACAATGAACTGTCATTTTACTCCGTCTTCAAAAAAGACAGACTATAGTTACATTTGCAGTTTAATGACATACGGCGTTTTGCTTTGGGGTAATAATAGTATACAGGGAGGCCGGAATAGTGACGTCCAAAAAAAAAAGTTAGGTGCCTCACATTGAGAGGTATCCGAATCACCCCCATGTATGTTCCGCGATTTTTCGTAGTTTTCGAGTTATGAATTTTTTTATGAATTTTTTGAAATTTTTAACCTGATCGAAAAAAAATTTTTTTTTTTCAATTCTTGCAACATTTTTGGGGTTTTTTTTTGTAACCTAATCTTTATGAATTGTACTTTAATGCACAAAATAATCAGCTTCATAACATCAATGGAAGCTATGAAAGTTTTGACTCAAATTGGGAATATAGCGTTCGAGCAAGTTGAACTTGAATTTTCAACTTCAAATTAAAAATCTAAACCGGCAATTCCATAGCTCTTGGGTAACTTTAAAATCTGCGCTAGACTCTTAACTTTTGTATGAATACAAAAAATCTAGTACTTAATAGGACTTTATTCGCTGAAATCAGCCTTCAAGGTCGAAAATTCCTATGAGAGTAATTTTACTAAAAAAAAAAATATTATTGCCTATTTTATCTTTCCTAAGACTCATTCTGGCAGAAAGTGTATAAACCAATAAAATTATAAGTGTAAGTAAACAAAATCTGGACATTTTCAATTTAATTTAATTTATTTTTAATTACATAAAAAAATATGGCCTATTTTATCTTTCTTAAGGATAATTACGGTAGAAAGCGTATTA